CCCTACGTCCCATTGAAATAGAGATCGCCTAGGCTTAGAGAAAGAGATCTTTGAGCCTAAAATGGGGAACAAGAGAAAAATAGAGCCCTTTTGACTCTTGGCAGGAATACACAGGTCTTGTGCATGCTGTGCTTGAGGGAGAACATTGCTATTTGAGTGATGGTTTGTACAACAGACTTGGCCTGACGCTTCCTATTTGAAGTAAACTGGGATGAGGAGGATGGTGGGAGCAGTCCCATTAAAACTTCTGGTGCAGTGTTGCTGGCACAGTTAATTCTCTCTCTAATGATATATCTGAACCTGCAAAAAGCCAGGTATTAGTTTACTTCTACCAACAGAAAATTACTTCATTAGGATAGCTTGTTTCATCCAGAGTGAAGGTCTTCTTGCACTGTGAGCTCTTTCTGTTCCCTTTACTAGCAAAGACATGCCTTGTCTGTGGTCTAGAAGAGTAAGCAGTGGAATGACACTTGCTTCCTTTGACAGCTCTATTTACTTTCTGATTAAATAAATAGGTTTGAAATGCTGAAGTGGCATTACTCATTGATTTGGCATGGAAGGGCTCTCAATCTACTTGAAGGCCACCTTGGTTTACAATATAAATGCTAAAGTGTATGCATGTAGCATTTTTAAAGTTTTTTTTTTTTTAATATACAGCTTTAGAAAAGGTTTTGATGAATTTCTTAATAAAAAGAGTAGGAAGAGTCTCACCACCTCACTGTCTAAATGAAGGTATCTTTTCTGTTGTTTACTACGAATTATAGTTGTTATATACTACTACTCTTATGACCTTGTTTTACTAGTAAGTGCTTTTTAGCCATGATAAGTATCTAACAAATAAAACATCTAATTTAGGTAATGCATATCTTCAGTTAGCAAATCCAGGTTCAGGAGACACAAGTTCACAACTGAAAATCAAAAGACTAAGAGATAATTAAAGGAGCTTCTGTATACAAAGTTACATGCTTAATTTAGTACAGATAAAGTGCATTGATACATGTTGACAGGACAGTCCCTTCTGGCCAACTGAGCTGTGGAGTGAGTAGTCAGTGAACGAGCATGGTCATGTTATGAAGGAGCATGCTGTGTTCACTGATGTTGGCTATTTTGTGGTTTGACTGTTTTACCTTAAGAGCAGGGTTGGCTGGGAATATGTTTGGGGTGGGTTAAGAGCTATAGCCAAAAATACTCTGTTCTTTTCAGCTTTTTCCAGCTTTTTTCTCTTCTTAGTCTTGAAGTTATAGTGTTGTCCTAATACTGCATGAAGGTAGCCTGAAGCAAAGAAATGTGATTTATATCCTCATAAAGTTTTTATGTAATGCTGCTGTATATCAGGGATAATTCTATTAAGGATAAACTTAAGTTAATGTCAGACAGCTACAATATCTCAAGAGATCTCCGATACATGTGTATTATAGTTCTTCAGGATTCACTGGAGGTTAATGAGTACAATGTAGGCATTTTACTATCAATATATGCTACAATATTGATTCTTTGAGAAAATAATGTATAGTTCTGGAATTTTAGTAGCACCTTAAGTAAAGCATTTTCACTGGTTTGTTTCATTCACCACTAATTTACTGGAAAGAGATATCTTTATTCCGGGTTAAATTATATATAGCATAATCTGAATGAGTCAAGGTGAGATGTAAGAAGTTTTGAGATGCTCAGGTGCCGTTGTCGTGTATATTGTGTGAGTACCTTCATAGGTTAAGGAGAAAAAATAGTTCTGTGTCTCAGAGAAGGTTTGGGGAAGTCCTCGTACAACAGGACTGATTGCTTGTGAAACTATAAATGAGTGATAATGATACCTCCTAATCTACCAAAGAGGATTTTAAGGTGAAATAATCTATATGAGATTTGGAATATGTAAGGTGTTGCCTAGTGCTGCTGCTATTCTAGGGTAGTTTCAGAGCAAAGAGATCATTGTCACCTTTATGCCATTTAGTGCTTCAGGGAAGGTTATGTAGACTCTTGACTTTTTTTTTAGATAGCCTCAAAACTTCATTGTACATAAAACACTTGAAAAGCTTCATATAAAAACATCCCAGTAACTCCCCCAATGTTCAAATAAAGAAAAAAAAAAAATCCATCAACTTTCAACTTCTGCCTTTGCAGAGAATCTGATATATAGCAGAGAATGTGTGTAATCATTTTAAAATTATTATTTCTGTTCCCAGACCTGATAAAAACAGCAGTTTCTTTGTTAGGTTTAGTGTTTAATAAATCCATACCCAAAAATCTGAATGATGGGATCTGTACGGGAGCATCATCTGGAGTTTGCCGTCCACAAACAACAATCTTATTTTAAGATATCAGATCCTTACTATGCATGAGCTATATTCAAGGGCGAACGAATAGTTTTGCAACGATGGTAAGTGGATGGGCATGGTAAAAAGGCACTGAAGAAAGTTGCTGTGTGAGTGCAGCATGAAGTAGCTGATGATTTTGTGTTTGCATTCCATGACAAACGTGCCATGGATTACTGTCCGCAGTAGAAGAGGGAAGGGCTACCCTGAACAGGCAATTTAATTCCCAGTCTCACACAGGTGAGCGGTTTACTGGGGATTGCTGGAGCAATTGTGTAAGTTCTTATCCTTCTTTTTTGGTAACTTGTTCTTGTATCCATGCCTTAAGGGCTGATGATTCAGAGTTCTTGGTTCACGGAGCATGTAAGGAGAGCTGTCTAGGGTGAGGCAAATCTGTATCTACATTTTCCAGTCATTTGTAAAGTATTGAATAGCAACGATGAGTTTACCTTAAAGGCGAGCAAACACTAGCAGTTTTCAAGTGTGAAGAAGCTTGAATTGTATCTGTTGATACAGTTTTCATTCCTTTTCTTGCATCTGGACGCTAGAAATCTCTTCCCTTGTTTTCCCAAAGGGAACAGGGAAATGGCTTAGAAGTGAAACAGCGATCAGGAGGCCTAGCTTTTGTGTTCCTGTGTAGGAAATATGTTGTTTTCGCTTTAGGTGCTCTTTCTTAGAGCAACTGCATCAGCATGGTTCCTTCCCTGTTCAGCTACCTGTCTTTTTTTCTGCTTCTTGAGTATGGGAGGTGGGTAGGGGTCTTGGGGGTAGGTAAGGAGAAGTGGGGACAAAGTAAAGGGATGGATGGGAGACCTTGGTTTTACTGGTGTGGGGATGCAGGGCACATTTTTAAGAAACCTGGTTGTGTTTCGTCTGCTCTTTATGTATATGTTTTTACTTGGATGAACAGGACTGAGGATTTTTTCCATCTGTTTAAATTACCAGGTTTCCTGTGAGTTTGCATGTGGACTGTGACTTTGTTTTTAGTGGTTTTATTTAACAACCTTTCTTTGAGAGCCCTGGAAATTCTTCAACGCTTGCTGGTCACAGCAGAGCTGAGATTCTGGTGAAGAGATTTCTACTGTCCCTCTATTTCCCTTTCTAGTTAATATAGTCAGCTGGGTCTTGGCATTTCCCCGTTGCTGGTTGGAGCAAACAAGGAGCAGAGTCCTGTGTTTTGAATTACTAGACCAGGAGCTAATAGTGCTATCTGTATCCCAGACTTCATGTACCTCAGTCCTGCATCTCTAAAATGAAGGGATCTTGAAGGTGAGAGGAATTAGGGTAATTTGAGTTTTTTACATCTGAGGTACTTCCGTGCTGGTGCTGAGAGTAATAGGCATGCTGAAGGCAAGCAGAACAGTGATGTTGTGGACCTCTCTCTCAGGAATGAATTGAATTAGTTTTATTTCAAGAGATTTTGAAACACTGGGGAGGAGGGAGAAGAGGGATGTTACAACAGTATGAGGTGTAACTTTATTTGTAAGAGCTTCTTATTTGAAAAAGTTTATCTAAAGCTAGAAAGGGCTAGTAGGTTTTCAGGTGGCTAATCTATCGAACTCTACATGTTCATGTCTTCAGATGTAGGGTAAGACATGTTAAGTTTAAGATGAAACTCCAACATCTCTGCTATCATGAACTGAAAACTATATATTCATAACCTTTATCCAGTTTTAATTAAGTTGGGTTGAAATAAAACCTGTATGCTAGTGTAGCTTCTCTTAGGTACAGGAAATAATTTGAGGAGGAACCAAGTGGCTGGAGTAAGATGCATAGTGATGTCAACAGCCCTCTCGTTTTATTCTTGCAGTGTGCATATTGAAGACTGAACAATGTTCCTTTCAATCAGGGTTTGTTTCTCTAAGGTTTGGAGGTGTATTCGACTTCTTTCTAGTGACAATAAAATTTCTATGGTCTCAAAGGCCAAACAACCCACATGAGACACACTGAAAGAACATTAGAATATGAAGTTATGGCAATGATGGCATGTCCCTAAGGTAGTAAAATAAAAGGTTTAAGAAGGGTACACAAAAATACACAGTAAACTGAAAGTTTAATTGGTAGCTGATCAATAGTTTCTGTATATTATTTACTGGTTTGAAGCAACAGACCTCCAGCATCCTGGAGGTTGATCCCTTCCCTGCTGATCGCTCCAGCTGAGTTCTTATGTGATCTTGGGTAAATCATGCAATCTTTTCATGTCTCCACTGTGGTGTTTAAAGAAAAAAAACTCTCATAGGACTCTTGTTGGAAGAAAATGTTGACAAATAAATAAATAAAAGTACTCAGCTACTCTGGAGGTATATATGTTTAACAATATTGCATTAACTATGCTTTCTAGCATTGATCTGTAACTTGAGCCAGTGTGGGTTTAAAATGGTGACTGCAAGCCAGTACATTCACCTTGTAATTTTTGAACTCAATCAATAAGGTTGTTTAACTCTCCATTGATCAAAAATTGATTGTTTTGGGAGCCACCATATTTTTCAGACACTTTCCAATTACTTCAGTTCTAGAAGGATATCCAGTTCATCCATAGGCTATTAATGAAGTTTATGACCCGTGTTATTTAAGAAGTCTGTGTAGACAGCCAGAAGAGCTTTAAAATGAATGAAATGAAGAGCTAATTTGGGTAAAGGAGTTGCTGCAATATTAACTTTTTTCTTTTTTTTCTCTTGTATAGCTATTGGTGAATATGAAGAGCTTAGAGCAGAAAATAAGAAAGCGAAAGAGGAGGTTTGTATCTTTTGATTGTTTCTTTAATACTAAAATGCTAAATATCAGAATACCTTATTGGCTATGGCAGGTTGTTGTCTGCTTTTGTGAGCTCAGCTGATTAATTACAACTAAACTTACTTTAAACTAAAAGAGGGTAGATTTAGACTAGACATAAGGAAAAATTTTTTTACAATGAGAGTGATGAAGCACTGGAACAGGTTGCCCAGAGAGGTGGTAGATGCCCCACCCCTGGAGGCATTCAAGGTCAGGCTAGATGGGGCTCTGAGCACCCTGATCTGGTTGAAGATGTCCCTGCTCATTGCAGGGAGGTTGGACTAGGTGACCTCTAAAGATCCCTTCCAGCCCAAATGATTTTATGATTCCATGATAAGTAGTAAGTATTACTTGTACCTATATGTAATAAGGAGCAATGAATGCAACTCCCAGCGGCTATTCTAGTGGTCCCACTCCAGAAAAGTTGTTATAAATATCTTTTTTTTTTTTAAATGATTGCTGCTATAGGCAGTTTGCCTATGATTACAGTGTGAGCATAGAGCAACTTAAGTGTTCAGATATTCTTAGAAAAACTTGTATTGCTTGGATCTAAACCTTGTTTGATTACAACTTGATTTGCACAGTGAGACTTACTGAAAAGAAAATAGAATAACTCCCCTCACCCAGCCCTTCTGAAAATTCAGAATGTAGGAATATGATTTGAAGGTATTTGAAGTCTTCCCCCTGGCCGCGCTCCGTAAAAAAACAAGCCAATTTTTAATAGGAGAGCAAGATGTTTTATCTCAACTTGCAGAATGATACTGCAGCATATTACACATCCTTCTGTGAAATCTGTGTGCCTGTCCAACTTGAAAAGAAGCTTTGAATGTATGGGCTTAACTTCGTGCATTGCTGCAGGCTTCATTTTTTAATGTTCAGAGATACTGGAGTAAGAAATAATGACCGCTTTCTAGATTGTTCATTGTAATTATGATGAACTGTCTTTATAGTAGTAAAATTAAGCACATTCGGTGAGGTATCTCTTTCCACCCAGGACTCTTGTTCATTCTACACACTTGCTTTCTGCGAGGAAGCTAATGGGAACAGAGAACTCGGAGAGATTTGGTGCATAAATCCATGTCAGTGTGCATAAGGGTTTTAGCAGTTATCTGTCAAAAGAAACGGTGGCCACTAAAAGCCTCTTATCAGTACTAGATACTGAGGAAGGCAGAGGAGTCAGTGCTACACTGTATTGTAAACAAAAAATTCTCCTTTATCCAGTATTGGTGAGCTGAAGGTGCAAGAAACATGTTAGTTCTCAAATCCCTGTTAGCTGCCAAAGCATGTAGGCTTAATTTAGCTTTTTGTGAAGTCATTCCTGAAGGGTCGCTTTTCGTCCAGTTGTTGTAAGCGTTACAATTCAAGGCTGTATTGGGAAGACCTTGTCCTTAACTACTTTCTCATTATTAAAGAAAACTTAAAGCTTATCTTCACAGTATGCTTCAGCAAAGATTAAGTGTATTTGCGCTGAGCTCAGCATATTGTATATCACTCCATCCTACCCACTGACCTCTGTGTCTTTTTTACTATCCTTGTTGCTGCATTCCCATTCTGCTGTCCTGCACCAGAGCCTCAGATATCGCGGGAAATCTCTCCTCTATTTTCACTGTTTGGAAGATTGTGGCAGTTCATCTCCCAGGGTTCAGAAGAAAAGGAGGATGAAACTGAGTTAGACCAAGAGTCCATCTAGCCCGGTATTCTGTCTCTGACAGCAACGGAGAGGGAGGAGTGTAAGAGCATGTATAACACGTCCACAAAGTACTCTTCTACTCTCCAAACCACTTGCAGCCTGGGGACTTCCTCAGCTTCAGTGTCTTCTGCCCTCCACAGCTCACTTCCTTGAATTTAGCCCATCCTCCCCAAGCCCGTGCTGATTTTTGGCTTCCATCACATGTGAGGCATTCCACACCAAGACTGTCTACCACAGGAAAAACAGGCTCCCCACCTTTGCCCTGAACCCAAGTCCTGCTAGCTTTGGTGTTTCTTCAACAAAGCTTTCTTTAAGTTTTGGGGGGGCAGGGAGGGGGTAGACAATGAGGAGGCTTTTCTTGAGCTGTATTTTTATTTAGAATTTTTTTTTCTTCAAAGGAAATTCCAAAGAAAAATGTTATTACCAAAATTGAGATGAAATGAGATGTTCTGTGGTTGTTTCTTGCATTCTGCCCTTCTCTCTTCCTTGCTCCTCTCTCTCACAAGACTTCTTTCCTATAACTGCATATCTGTAGCCACTCCTGTGTCTTTCTTCTGAAGGTTGGTATGATGTTTTTCAAAATACTTGCATAACAACTGAAAATCCTCCAGCCCTGAGCACATGGAGATTACATCCCTAGTCGGGCAAATTAGTTAAGCACGTGCTCAGGGTTGGAGGATTTTCAGTTGTTATGCCAGTATTCTCCATCCAAGAACCTCCATCCTGCAAATTGGTGTGCTTGTGTAAGCAGTCCTGCTTAATTGTTTAAGTGCTTGGACTCAGGTGGTTAAGTGTGAGGCCATAAGTGCATTTCTTCTACAAAAAAAACCCAAACCAACCTACCGATACAGGGTTCATGGTTATGTTTCCTCACAGTGCCAACACTGGAAGAAACTATTCCTTCTGTTGTTGCAGGGCTGGGTAATCCTGAAAGCTTGTCAGCGCTTCTTTAACTTTGTGTCTTAGTTTATGCTTTGCAGGATCAAACCTGGTATTAGAGGAATTATAGCACAGGCTGTCTCTGCCTGTGGGTCTGGGAAGTTGTGGGTGACGTCTGTTCCAGTTTGTGCCACTGTCTGTCAGTATAAGTGTAAGCAAATGGCTTCTTCTCTATCAATTGTGGTCACATAATAGCGTCAATAGGAGGAAAGGAAGAGAAAATTAATTTTTTTAGAAGAACACTTGCAGACTGTTTGTGGAAAGTACCACACAGGAGTTAGATAACAGTGTGTGTGTATTTATGTGCTTTTGACGCACTCGGAATTTTTTTCTGAGTCACCACTACACTTGTTTGGCTCTGAAAGATGAGCTGTGTCATGGAGAAATTATCCTAGGTTATATTAGAAACATGGAAATTGGAGGATAATGGGCAGCTAACTTAAAATAAAATGTAATTTTAATTTTTTAAAAATCTGTGCTCTTTATTCTGTATTTTATCTTAAGATAGAAAGTAAATTGACTTTTACATAGGTTGCTTTGTTCAAAGCACTGTTGCTTTAAAGGATGCTAATAACCATGAAAATTCAGGAGCAAAATATAAGATCTTTGATTTGCGGTGTCTCTTCCTCATTGCCTTGCTAAACTGCCAATTTGGAGACCTGTGGTGGGGTCTCTGACAAAAATGGTGCAGGCATTTTTTTTATTAGTATTTTTAAATACTTTCAAAAACTGGAGCAAAAATGACATTGGCAGATTACTTCTCTTAGGTCATCATTTTTAATTGAAGTAACCGTCTAAACATGCATACCAGTCCCCCAAAAATAGATAACTAACGTTCAGTTGCACACAAATGTAGATAACTTAATATGCAGTTCTGACATATTCAGAGTCAGATCATGAACAAATATTTGACTACTTGCTAATCAGACAGAAATGACTCTGAACGCTGGTTTTGACAGTGTTTTGTCATGCTGCCAATAGGGAAAAAAACCCCAGCAAGACAGCTTTCCAAAACAGTAGATGTAATACTGTATCTCTGATACATCATTCATGGTGTTTGCTCTGTTAAAGCACATGTATAGAGTGGATTATATGTTTTGTCACCAAATGGGAATGGAGAAGGGATTCTGCTTTGATGACATGCTCATTCTTTCTGTAAGTAGAGTATAGCAGGTGTCATAGGATACTTTTGAGCGCTGTACCAAACTCATAATTTTAGAACAAGCATTAAATCTGCATAAATTTCACAATCTGTGTAAATGGGAAAGAATGGATCTTGTGTTGCTTAGCAATGGCTTAATTGACTATATGGCTACTACGTGAACTTCTTGCATCTTAATATCTGGACTGAACAATCTCCTTCTTGTTTTTGCCCTTTGAAGGCCTTTTACTGAAGTCAGTAGGAGCTTATGTGCAAAACAGTTGGCAAAAAAGAAGCCTGTTAGAAAAGAATAGACAAGAAACCAGGCCTCTGTGGAATTAGTGGCAAAGAGTTGTTAGGCTGATGGGAGTGGGTGTGCAGAGACTACGTATCCACGGGTTTCCAGGTGGTTGTGTGCATTGACTTCGCAACGTCACCTTGTAGTGCCAGGTTCCCGTGACGGTGTGGTACTATCCTGGTATTGTGCTAGCTCCAAGTATCGGCCGAGTTCATGTACTGCTCTTCACCTTGCTATATATGCAGTATTTGGTTTGAACGCTAGTCTTTGACATGTATATGATTTACTTGTAAGTAGTCAGTGTATCAGTTCACTGTGCTAGAAATGAAAGTATTGCCTCCTATCTTGTGTACCTAGAAGGCAAAAATCTGAAATTGAGTGGGATTGGCAAAGCTCCTGAACTTGCTCCTGCAAAGACGAAGAATTGTAAGCAGTTATTTACAAAATGAATTTTGGAAACCGAACTGTTAATTTGTTTCTAAAAGTACAGATGCAATGTCTTCTTATTGCCAAGAAATTATTGTTAACTCCTGTAGTTAGTTCAGGACTGGAATGGGAATATTGTCTATTACCTTTGGGTTTTTTATTGAGATAATGGTGCTGTAAATATTATATTAAAATATAGTAAATAAAATGGTATAAATGCTTATTTTCCTCTGCAGAGAAGCTGGAACTCTTAACAAAATAAAGTTAAAAACAGAAAATTGACAATCCAGGACTTAGCAAGTTGTGGGTTTTTTGTTTGTTGTGGGTTTTTTTGTGTTTTGTTTTTTTTTTTTTCATTTGATAGTTCTCTTAATACTGGTGGGGGAGACTTAGTAAATACTTGAAAGCTGTTTCTCCTCAACAGTTGCATGCGGTTGAATGTGAAAAGTGAATAGTAGATTTTATACTAATGTTACGCCTTTTAACATTTAATATTAGTGATACTCTTGTCAATTAACAATTCTACTGTATATGCCTCAAATTGCTTTTTTGAAAAGTGAGGTGGTTGTGAATTTTGAAGGCTTCTCTGCAGCTTTTTGAGAGCAGCTAACGCTTCTAAGTTTTGATATCTTTAAACTTCCCTGTTTTAAAGGTAAAGACAATTTATTTTAAGGGGTCACGATGTTTTTTTTATTGTGAAACTTAATTACTTTAGGAATATTTTGTTTGCACAACTTTCCAGTTTGAAACAGTGCAAGCAGTTAAAGACAATCTCAACTTTTTCTAATTCTTAGCTAAATTGGAGATAAACTAGGTTTTGGGTTTTTTTTATAGGATTTGTAACAGCTCCGCTTGCACGGGTCTGATTGCAAGACAAAGGGCAAAGTGCTTTCCATTGATCATTTCAGCAAGGGTAACAATCTCCCGCTCTCCTTTTCTTCCTGCTCTTTCATTCTGAAACACAGTAGTATCGAAAGGAAAATATTCAGAAAGCTGGAACTGGGAGCAGGAATTGCTCTGCAGAGACCCAAACCTACAGACCTTGATTGTGGAGAGAAAGATGCGTAGCTATCAGGAGAATAGTTAGCTTGCCGTGGTCCAAATGGAGCGCTCTCTGCAAATAGCACTCAAGGTGAAGTGGAATAGGTCATTTAACTTCCCCTTTCGCTGCACAAGGGAAGCTGTTATGCCTTACAGCATGTTGCTGGCGGATTTCAAAAGGAGTTTTTCCTATCATTGGGATAGGGAGTGTACTGCATTCTCTACATCAAGGTTTCCATCAGTAGGAAGGTTTCTTGTTGATTTCCACAGGCAATCAGATCCTTAAAACGTTAATCTTCCTGGTTTTTAAACCGAGCATTAAAAGCACTTGCTCACTTAACGTGCAGTGGGCTGGAAGCTTGCAGCGTGCAGAAAAATCCGTGGGTGAAGTATGCCAGTGTAGTTACAGTATCTCTCTTGTAAAATACAAAAAGGCAGCAGCTCACACTGATCCCCCTTTTGCAGAGGAGCTGTTCTTTGCAGGAACAATCAGAAATTTTTTCTGCATCTTTTGCTGCATTCTGTTCTTAGACTGCACTTCTGCCAGTAAGGTAAGGCAAATTTTTGCAGAGGAAACAGAGAGAGGGCAACAAGCAGCAAGATTCATGCACAGATTTCCCTTCCCCACCTCTCCTGTGCAAAATTCTCTTAACAGCTTCTTTGTTAACAGGGCCAGATGAAACACTGAATCCTCCTCCGGTGCCGTTGCTCAGTACATCTTGCTCCTTCTGCAGCTCTGCCTTGTTTCACAGACCTTTACAGCAGCTGGTGACTGATCTATCCCCCCTACTCAGCTACTGTCCCTTGCTTCATCACTGCAGTGCCACAAGAAGAGAGATTCCTTGTTGAGTACAACTTCTTTTGCTCCCACAGATAGCCATCAGCAGCGGCTTCCAAAGCCTGCATGGAGGCTGCCCCTGAGGTGTTACCAATGGCATCTTCTCCTTGCCCAAGAGCAGATCCTTCTTTGGGCCTCATCCAGGGCCCTCCGGAGCTGATAGAAGGGCTCTCTTTAATTTGGCTGCCTTTGAATCGGGCTCTTCCCCTTCTTGTAACTTAACAGCAGGCTTTTTTCCCAGCTAACTCAAAGTGTGTCCTCATGGAAAAACTGAAAATCGAGCAAAAT